ACACGTCAATAAACATACCTGTTGATATTTTCACACTAAGAAAGATGCCTCCTAAGAAATACCTACACCAGGCCCACTAACGTTTCCATGTTAATGCGTAACCTGGGCTGCTTAGACAGAAGATATGCTGAGCCGTCTCCCTTCCAAGATTTTAACGGAAGAAACAGGTGCCCGGTAAGAAATTGGGGTCCACGCAACCGAAACTTACTAGACAGACAGCCCGATAGAATCGAGATTTACGAAGACACGTCCATCATTCCTTCATTCTCAATTGACGATGATGCTTTACTGCGACGCTACGGTCCTGTGGATATAGATTACGTTGAGCATGGACAAATCATAACAAGCGGGTTTAGCTCAGTTGGGAGAGCGTCAGACTGAAGTCAAACTTCATTCCTCGGATAATCTGAAGGTCATGTGTTCGATCCACATAAACCGCAAGCTTTTCTTTTTGCATCAATACTTTTTTTATGGTCCTTGTGCCATTGCGCGACGACGAGGAGTATGAAGATGTTTTTTCATGCCTGTGCTTGGGGCATGGTACCCATGGGTTCGGGAAACCGGATTTTTTTTTTTCCCTAGGTAAGCACCGCACCGTTTCTTTCTACCATTTCGTTACACTTTCGCCATCCTCACGGGAAAGCCTGGTTTGATAACATACGAACAATTGATAGACGGTGATATGTTGTTAGTGTTACTATGGCCCATGTTCTCTTTGTGTCGTCCTGTGGGAATGGAGAAGAACGTTAGTCGCAATCTTGGGTAGCAGCAGTCCAGGACAACCAAACAAGCACAAATTGTCACTTTGTGACTTTGTCAGCACTAATGAACGACGCAGCGGTATCTAGCTTTTGAGCACAATTAACCGTGCCAGAACCTCGAGGATCCTGTGTGAAGTCAGAAGGCCTGCTAAAGCCCCTGCTTCAGGCGTTTTCTAGCGAAGTCGATTGGTGTAAATCTTGATTTATCCCTGTTCAGGTACCACGCCAACAAACTGTTTAGGGGTTAGTCGGCCCTCGCACACTTCAAGACCTCGGGAGCGATGTAGAGTAGCTATGGCGGACTGCCGCACATGGTGGCGCTGTGCTTCTTGACGCCTTCGGACTCAAACATGGTTGCCATGCCAAAGTCGGCGATCTTGAGGTTTCCGGGCCGCCCATCAGGTCCAACCACAACCTGATCGCAAACTGAACTCTGGCAAAAGAATGCCGATTGACTTAGTCTGGAAATCTCGGCGGTGGTTTCCCATGAGCAGATTTGACCCGCTTTTCTCGATTTCACCAATCAAACCACGTCCATCCTTCAGTTCCCCAGCAGCAAAACTTGAAAACTTCGCAACATCGCCAGAGATGCTTTTTTGAGCTTTGGCTGCTGCTTTCGTGTCAAACCAGCCCGGCATCTGCTTCTCATCGAAATCGCAGCCGAAATCAGCGTTCCCGATCACACCCTTATAGAGGAACCGGACCTCCGGCGCACCCTGCCACGAGGATCAAGATGGACGATGACCATGGCAGCGGGGGGCACCGCCATCCAGCACCAGCTCCCGAAAAGCCAATGCTTGTCGTGTACACGAAGGGCGTTTGTCAGGATCAGCATCTGAATCGGATTGGCGACAAGACCGAAGTCGAAGACGACGGCCCGCCCGTGGTGCAAGAACAAGCAGATCTCGTGCAGCTTGCCATCATTGGACACAATATCTTCTACACCGGCCCCGCCGGCTGCGGCAAAACATTTGTCTTGCACCGAATCAAGTCCGCCCTGCGCGAGATGGGCAAGAGGGTTGACGTCGTGGCGCCGACCGGCATCGCCGCGTACGCTGTCGGCGGCACGACTATGCACAACCACCTGCGCATCACGCCCGACGGCCTGGGCAAGAGAAAACTTGAAGATGTCCTTCTCCAGTACTACCCTGGAAGCAAGCGCGCTCAGGATCTGCGAGCGACCGATGTCCTAATCATTGACGAGATCAGCATGGTCTCCGGCCCGATGCTCGACCGCTTCAGCGACATCCTCAAGCAAGCGCGCAACAATTCCAACCCGTTTGGTGGCCTCCAGATCATCGCGACCGGCGACTTCTATCAGCTGCCACCCATCAAGCCGTTCGAGTTCTGCTGCGAGCTGGAGTGCAAGGTGTTTCCCGACACATGGAACCCGCAGTTTTACAAGTGCGACAAGTGCGAACAAGTCTACTACGACAAGAACAAGTGGGCATTTGCGAGCGCCGCCTGGGCCGAGAGCAACTTTCTCCTCTGCGCGCTGCAGAAGATGCACCGGCAGAAGGATCCGCTCTTCCTCAGCGTACTCAACAAGATCCGCAGGGGCGATCCGCTGCAAGCGGGCGAGAGGACGTATCTCATGCGCCACCCGTCCGAGGCCGAGGGCGGTATCAAGCTGATGTCGACCAACAAGATGGTCCGCGAAGCCAACCGCGCCGGTCTCGCCCGGCTCTCTGGACAGGAGTACGTGTACACATGCTACGACAATTTTAAGGTGACATCGGGCCACGAGGGCAAGTACGACGACTATTTCGAAAGGACGCTGGACTGGGTCGATGACGATGACGAGAAAAAGCCCGTCAAGGTGCTCAGCAAGCTCAAGGATCATCGGTACGCAGCGCGCGTGCGGTTCAAAGTTGGAGCCAAGGTCATGTTGCTTGCGAATCTTGCCGTCAGCAGAGGGTTGTGCAACAGCACGCAGGGCGAAATTACAGGGTTCGAGCCGCTCGACATGGGAAAGCTGCCGTCTACGCTGGACGGGACGCTCGGGGCCATGTACGGCAAGCACAAAGAGGGGCACATCCGCAACTTTTGCCAGGCCCAGAAGATCGAGGGCTTCCCCATCGTGACTTTCCAGAATGGCATCACCGAGACGATTTACCCGGAGTGTACCGTCCAGGAGATCGGTGTTGGCATCCCGGTGGTGTTTGGCGGCCAGCCGGGAGAAAAGCGCTACAGTTTGCTCTGTCGTACGCAGCTGCCGCTGACCGCTGCGTGGGCGCTCACTATTCACAAGGCTCAGGGTATGACGCTCGAGAGGGCTGTCGTGCACCTTCAGGGAATGCAACGTGGGCAACAGTTGTACGTGGCCCTCTCGCGTGTGAAGGGGCCGCGCGGGCTGCGGATTGAGGGTGGTGAGTGGGATCTGGAGGGAAAGGTGAAAAAGTGTGAGGAGGTGGATATGTTCTACGCGAAGCTGAGGCAAGTCAGTTACTTCATACCGAGGGGTAAAAGCTGGGGATATCCTGGATGGATGAACATTGTCCAGGACATGTAGCTCCAAAGCGCAGAGTGTCTTTTCCTCGCTTGCATGACCTAGCATAGGAGTATTACCTACAGGTATATGTAATCTGGTAGTCTGTAGCCCAGTCCCATGGGAGAGACCAGCGCTAGTACAATACAACTTGCCCACAGAAAGAAGTCAGACCGTGTCTCGGGAACAGAGCTGCACAGCATGGATTCCACATCGCCACTAGCCTTGAGGATTGTTGGCGACTGAGCAGGCCATAGCCAGTCCGGGCCTCGATGAAGGCCACAGATGTCAAGAGATATCGTTTGGAGTTTAATGCGAATCTGCCCATCTCCCGCGGCTCGCTCTCCATTGCCTCCCCGGTAAGAAGTGGACCAGACTTGAAAGGCACTCAAACCACAACAATCGATTTTGGTTTGGAGAAAAAGAATGGTTCTCGGGACAACATTATGAACTCTCAACATACCGCCGCCAACAGAAAAGTCGAGGGCGAAAAAGGAAGGAGAGGACGAAAACAAAAAAAAAAACATACAACACCAGGGATTCGCTGGTCGTCACCGACCCAACTACTAGTCTGGCCCTCACTGGCTTATCTATGGGAGAGCGGACGGGATCCCGAGTTCTCCAGTGGGTATGGTCGTATGTGAAAGATGTTGTGCGTGTAGCTGCTTATCGTCCTTGGCCTGCTGTGAACATGGAGATATGTCCCCCGACCGAATACAACCAACATGCAAACACCGTATACCCCGCTCACGATTATGAGCTGCGCGCTGATGCCATGGCGGTTTTTGACTGGAGTCATTGGTCCGGCAAAAGGGGCGCCTGCAAAGTGAGGAATGCTCATGGAATGCGGTGTATCAAATGCTGATGCCCAACACGGTTGGCAACACCTTCACTCAGCAACATCCAGCTTCCTCCACAAAGCCACATGCAAAATCCCATCCTCGACCCACGGCTCAGCCCCCTCGTCCCTCACAAACCCCATCCGCACATACAACCCTTCAACCTCAGTCTGCGCATGCACCAAGACCCACCCCTCCCAATTCTCACCCAAAGCTCCGGGGTTCTCCGCCGCCCACCGCATCGCCTCCTCAACCAACTTCCGACTCACACCCAACCCTCTATACCCCTTCAAAACAGCCAACCTCCCAATCTTGATACACGCCCTACCCCCGTCGATGGCGGGGGCATTCCCAACATGAACAGGGAGGATCCGCACCGTCCCGACTGGGACTTCCTCTTCTCCACGATCGCCGGGAAGAAGAGCGAGGAAATGAAACGATAAGGGATCGTGATCGTCGAATTCGAGCTCCAGTGGAATTTTTTGTTCGTCAACGAAGACGGCCTCGCGGATGGACATGGATTGGCGGAAGGGGGTGGAGATGGGGACGGAGGGGGGTTGGGCTGCGGCGCGGAGGGTGCGGTTGTAACCTTCCACTGACGGGCCGGGTGGTGGGATAAAGACGATGCGGAGGGCCATTTTGACTTTTGGTTTCTTTGGATGGTGTTTATGCTTTGGGTGAACTGGCGGGTTGCGTGTGGGACTGTGTGACGTCTGTTGGATGAGTCAACTTTCAGGGTGGACCCGCCGCTGAAACGAATCACCAGCAGGTCCAGGACAAAGACTGAACGCTGCGGCGCATCTGCTGTGCTATATCCACGATAAAAAAAGAGGACAACGAGTGGAAGTACTTTGACTATTCCTCGGGCATTCTCATCGAGCAGCAATGGCATGCACCGCAAAAATGAAAGCTTGCCCCCATGCGGGATTGAACCGCAGACCTTGTCATGTCGCTGGATGGCTACGAGTGACACGCTCTACCACTGAGCTATACGGGCTTTGATGTTTATTGGTTCGTTCGAAGACTCTACAAACCCAGACTTCTGACATCACGGCAAGTTGCAATCCTGTTGTCCTGTTCTCAGGGGCTCACAGCGGACTCAGAAACCAGAACGGTTGTCGAATACCCAACGTGCACCGCAGGTTTGAACTGTGTTTATTTACATAACTCTCAAAGATCATGACTGTTTAGGACTTGGCTTTTGTCCATTGTCTCTGATTCGCAAGAGGGATAAACATTGGGCTACCCTAGGTATCCCATCAATCAGATAGTAGGTGGTCTTCTGAGTATCACAACATCCTAGCGAATCCCACCACCATTACACCATTATAATAAGGAGTGAATTGTTACCTGGGTACGCTCGTTGTGATACTCTGACTCTATCGCATATTGGCGCTCTATGAGTCCGTAGAATACAAAAGTTTATACATCGGAAAGTGCTAAAGCTAGCAGAACAGAAATCAGAAAAGAAGATGGTATCACCGCTCGCGGTATTGCTCCGGCCGCGCCCCCAACTCCAAAGCCAAAAATGCCACCGCCTCCGTACCCCGTAATGATACACGGCATAAAAAAGACATTTGTACAGTGGAGAAAATCATGACTCATGACTCATGCTATGCCAATGAGGTGTCACACTCGCACCCTCACGCATAACTCCGAAACCCATATCGCTGCGGCTGCCGCTCAACGTCGTCTCGTAGCGGGTTGTCCAACCAGTCCGGCCTCCCCTTGAGCTGTTCCAGCTCAACAAGCGACCCCCTTCGTCCCCGGGATCCCAGCCCGCCAGTGCCGCTGCGACTTCGACTCGTCCCGCCCCCGCGGCCGGTGAGACTGCGCTTGGCGCCGACGAGCAAAACTCGGAAGATGGGGATGGCCTGGGCGATGATGGTCGCAGCCGGCTCGAGGAAGTTGAAGATGGACATGAAGACCAGGAATTCTGTTTTATGTCAGTCTCGGTTCTTGTGAAAAGATTTTGGGGGGACTTACCGAAATCATTGTCGCCCTGGACGAACTGGAAAAAAGCGCGTAGGATGGTGATCACGCCCGTCAGCGCGCCGAGGCTCATGGCTATCGCGAGGCCGACCTTCTCCCGCTTCTGCAGCTGCAGCTCGCGGACGACGAGCCAGGGGAAGAGGGCGAGCAAGACGTCGACAACGCCGCCGTAGACTGTGTCTGTCAGTACACATGCCGCCTATCTGCATACAGCTGCAAAGGCATACCGATAGTTGTCCCGCCAAGATACTGCAACGTCTTGAGATCATAGCACATATGATGCTCCGGCCGAAACTTGGCGCGCGGATCCACGCACGCCGGGATCCAAACCGACAACGTCCCGGGGATGAGAATAAGATTCGCCGAAATAATGATGAACCACAGGAATGCGGCCTGAGCCCGATTCCGCACCAGCCGGGTCAACGTGATGGCGAAAGCGATCTTGGCCCAGCTGGTAGCTACCATGGTCATCTCCGTCGAGGTGTTCTGCAGAAGGAAAAAAGTGCGCTTCGCGTCGTCGGTCGCCGACCCGACCGCCATGGTCCGGCTGATCAGCGCGCCTGCGATCAAGAGTAATGCCCACGCCGTCGTGAGCACGTAGTCGTCCCACCAGAGCTGGGCGAGATGGCGCCGGCACCAGAGGCGGACGGCGAGGAATGCGGCCGAGGAGCCGACGAGGACCCAGATGGCCACGTTGGTTTGGGCGAATTGGCCATGGTCGCCTCTGCCGCTGGCCATTTCTTTCTTTTTTTCTGGTTTTTATCGAGAATCTATTCCGACATGAAAGAAGGCCACAAAGGAACAGTGGAAAAGAGATCCTCTGGCAGTGCCGAGCGAGGATCGACGGATGGGTGCCCAGGTGGTTAATTAACAACCACGGCTTATAGCCCCTCGGCTCGGGTGCTCGTCGCGTGGCTTTTTCTCTTGGGAGAAAATCCGGGGAATCCGCACCATACCCAGGGATTCAGAAAGATGCCACACCAGAAAGCATGCTGAGACGGTTGTGCGTGTTTTGGGATCCTCACTAGCGTCGCTTCTCCTGTCTGTGTGTTTCCCCGCCGTCGCCCTGGTTTTTGTGTGTGGGGGGTTTTATCAGTTATCTCCAACTCGGCTTGTTTCATCAACGCCGACACACAGCTCCACAGCTGCACACCTTTTTCGCACCCACGTTTTTTTAACAAGCTCGTGGTGTTGTGGCGATGCACTTTGGAAACTACTTCACACCCCTTTCTGCAGGTAAAGACTTTTGTGATACCCGTCCGGGGTGTGGCTTCTGAACTTCTTGGTGTTCTAGCGAACGGGCAGAGAGCGGATGATGGCTCGCACAGACGACAGATACGAAAAAAGGTGTGGGTTCTCTGGAGTGTTCGCCGTAACACCATTGCTCCTCGCGGTGTGTGTGCGGAGGAATTGCCGTCTTTGCGACGCTCCGGCCGTTGCTTCGGGTCTGTAGGAGAGATGCGACGACAGTTATGGCTGCAAGGTCGTGGGTTGATGGATGTCTACACGCGGTGGTATATCGGTTGACACTTCTCGGCTGCAATTTCTGAACCGCGTTTTCGATATTGCTGATGCTTCTCAATTCTCACTGATCGACTACCTCGGCTTGTAGTTGGTGATCCTCTCCTCTCGTTCTTGATACCTACCTAGTGATGAACGCCGAGCGAAGATGATCTGCAAGGTGGCGTTTTATTTGCACCGTAACACAGACGTATGGTCTATCTCGCCCAGCCTACTCACAGACGGATAGCCCCTCTAGGTCCGGCAGAGAGGTCACACATCGAAGTCAGAGCTCTCGGCCTCCTTACATTCCTACGCTGGCCACGCATCTACTTGTGGCTGAGGCGTCCGGGCACGCCTCCCAGCCTTCTTCCCTAATCGATGACCAAGCTACGATCGACGATGCTTATTATGCCGATCTCTAGAATGCTTACAGCACGATGACCAAGTCGCCGTATTCAGGCATACACCATCCTTTAGCACAGCACCCAGATAGGCCACCCACCGCAACGCATAAGACAGCCTTCTGACTGCCTTCGATAGAAGCCCTCCCGCCCACCGCTCAATGCGCAAACCGGAAATCCAGCCTTCGACTCCCCGTCAACGTCGTATTCCGCACATACTCCGCTCTCTCCTCTTCCGTCATGGCATTCCAGATCACATCTCGTCGGCGATTGCGCCACTGGTAGTAAAACTTTGCGAAGAGAAAGGCAAAGATCACGATCACGTTGACAATGACCAGGTTCTGGTTGCCGTTTTTGTACAGCGGCTTGTCGTAGTCCTGGTAGACGTAGGCAGCCGTGATGCTACCCGCTTGGACGGACATCTGTTTGATACGTGGTGAGCATCTGTGCGCTACTAGCCGTGACGAATGGGAGAGAGAGGAGGATATCAGGGGTTGGAGGAGGGGGTTGCTTACGTTGTACAACGCTGCGGAGACCGATCGTACGCCTACGTTGTTTGAGTTTCGGGATGTCCATCCGACGAGGATGGCGTCTGTTCTTTATCAGCTTCTCTTGACTTGTAAACATGATGGGAGAATGCATACGCGCATAAGGATACGATGTTAGTACTGTCACCAACGCGTAAGTGCCCCATTTATCGACAATCACACCTGGCCACCATCGTAGGGCAATAAGACATGGAAGAGTCCATATCGGCTGCAGAAGCGCGACGAATGCGCGCTCGTTGAGTTTCTCAGATAACCGGGTCAACAGGATGAGGTTGATGATATGAAAGACGTTCTACTCCCGTTATTAGACCTAGTCCTAACTCGGCTGACAACGTCTCCGACCCAAGTTATCACTCACATAGGGAATGGTCAACAAATTCGTCGTAAACGGGCTGAAACCCAGATTCCGCAGCGTAAGCGTGATATACTGCGTCGGCGGCGTGGAGGGGATGAACTCAATCAGCCCAATCAGATACAGCGGCCACAGGTCGTAGTCCTTGAGGGCCTCCCACAGACGCCGCGGCGTGATGGCCTGCCGGTTGTGCATGTCGCCCTTGGACGGGTCGTCGCGCAGCACCCGGTTGACGGCGATTGACACCTCGCGGTCCGTGAACCAGCCGTTCGGCCGGAACCATGTTTTCGTCTGGACTGCTGACGCCGGCATGAGGAAGAAACTTGCAACGCCAACGATCAAGGTGATCAGACCCTCGACGAGGAACAGCCAACGCCAGCCGCCCCAGCCATTGATGCCACGGAGGTGGAGGAGGGCGAAGGCGAGGAGGGACGTGATGATCCCTGTGACGGAGAGGGAGGTCCAGAAGTAGCTGAGTCGGATGGGGAGCTCGCGGGAGGTGTAAAAATAGGACAGCCAGAGGACGATGTCGGGGATGAAGCCGCCCTGTGCTGTTATCAGTGGGGGGCCAAGTTGGCGGGCTCGGTGGAAAGAGGCATACCTCGAGGAGACCAAGAAGAGACCTCGTGCACAAAAAGCTGGTCCGGCCGGTTAGAGCACATTGTGCGACAGCTACAATCGACCATAGCACAATCTGCATGGGAATCCATCGGTCCGGTCCGATTTTCTTGGAGACCAGCTGGGACGGCAGCTCGGCGAGCAGGAAGGACAACCGGAAGATGCTGTTCCCATCGTTGTAGTCTAGTTGGTATAATCAGCGACCTTATTCTTGCCCGGCTCAGTCGATGAAGAATAATAGAACAGAGAATGGCCTACCATTTGTCGTCAATCCCAGATCGTCCAGCATGTTATCCGACACGGCCTGCGCTAGATTTCCCCGGTCGACTTGGAGAGCGAAGAACATGACGCACTAGGTAGACATTGACCCGTATCAGCCAAACCTCATGACCGCAGACGAAGCACGGGGAGAGACAAGACTGGTAAACGCACCGCCCACAAGCAAACCCTCCAGTCCAACTTTCTAACCAACCTCCGTTCCTCTTCCTCAGTCCACACCAGCGTCGGATCATAGACATGTCGGCATTCATACTGCGACTTCTCATACACCTGCCGCCAGCGCTCGGCAGTGGCCGGGTCCGCG